GTATGAATAGTCAGACTGGATAAAAAGAGGACAAGGATGGGGGAGAGGAGAAGGAGGGGGTGGGGGGAGAAATGTAGCGAATACCAGTGAAAACCAACAAAAACCGAGGATAAAAGGCCGGTATTGCTTGAAGTCACAAAAACTACATACTGCATGCCAGAGGCTACGATATATCACGCTGTAATGCTAAAACTACTTGTAATGCTGTATAATGGTACTGGTAGAGAAATCATGATTCAAAGAATCTAAAGACTGTAAAATAAAGGAGTTCGATACACCCCCGATACGAATAATAATTTGCAACCGTTGGTAGGCCGAATCGTAATCTCAGAACAACTAGACGGTCCCAAGAAAACAAAATGTGGAACAGCCGGATTCAGAAAGTTAAAACGAAGAGCGGGATAAGTAAAAGACCCACGGGCCGTTTGGGCCCTGTAGGTGGAAGGAATTAAGAAAATAAGGGCTGAACCGGTACTAGGTGGCTCTAACTAGGACGTGCATAAGACGGCGTAGATAAGTTTGCTAAAATAATTTGCAACCGTTGGTAGGCCGAATCGTACTGTTTAAAACAAGTGGACAGTCCGAAGCATGGAAAATGTGGAACGGGCACAGTCCGCGAATTTCAAGTTAGAATGGGATTAGTTTAATAAGTTATGATGGAAAAGATAGTAGAGCTGTTCATGCAGCACAAAAGTCAAACTCGTCATCAGCTTGCTTGAATAACAGGGCCATCGATTGTTTGTTCGGCAGGCGGTTGTTGTATTTTGCACACTGGAAATAAACAAAAATCGAAGAATAATCTTTACCGGTTCCTGAACGGGACTGTGCTGTTGGCGCCTTGATGGTATGACCATCCTTTCATTCATACCTGAAAAAAACACCACTTTTTCCACTTCTTCAAAGCTGCTCAATATTAGTCTTCGAGTTCTGACCGGTCATTTGCAACCAGCGCAACAAAAAAGTAAAATTTCAAGTCCACTACATCTACCGACAGCAAATAATTTATCCATGAAATGATGTGGTGCTCGCTGGCTAACCGAAGGTCCAATACAACACTG